AATCAGTTGCGCACCAACTGTTACTTTCTAGAATTCAAATTGGATAATCGATAATCTTCTCTTTATATTCTGGCAACTCTGGTTACAAGAGATTAACGAGATCTGTTCTCTTTCCATAGAGCCTGACCTCGGTGAACCAAGGCGAGTCAAAGGAACAGCTGAAGCTCCTTCGTAATCATCTTCTCGCGCTGACGTGCACGGAACCACAGTTGCAATCGATCAAGGAACGCACGCTGGAGGTGTCGACTCAGGAGTTGTCCGTAGTCGAGGTGCTGCAACGATGGCAGAACGTCTTTAGAGAAACGTTCCAGCAGTATCACCGTTTATCGGCTCATCTAGTCAAAACCCAAGACGGCGCGACTGCCTTGAAACTCTGGCAGGAGTATCTGGCTGACGTGCAAGACTTCCTGTCCAACGACGTGTCCGGCGACTACAACGGTTTGTCGAAACATCGGAATCTCTGCGAGGTTCATCGAAACCTGCTGACCGACCAACAGAATCTCATACTCACCGTTCGGGCGGAAGAGGGCAGCAACTTGTCGACGACAGAACAGTTCAACATCCTGACGAATCTCCACAATGAAACGCTGGCCACGATCATGGAGAGACACGCGGCGGTGCGCGACCGATTGGCCGCGTGGGACAGATACAAGTCGGACCAGGGCAAACTGTTATCCTGGTTGAAGGAGATAGAGAGAGAACGGGGCCAGCTGCATCTTCGATTCATCCAATTGCAAAGGCTGGACGAAGTCCTTCAGAGGATACAGGCGCTGCTGGACAAGATAGAACAGGGCAAAGCTCAATTGGAGTCTCTGCAGGAGCAACAGGAGACCTTGCTGGTCAACTGCGACCAGACACTGGCCATGTCCATCCGCATGGAGCTGGCGGCTCACGCTCAGAGGATCGCCAACTTGAGCTCCAGTCTGGAGATCTGGAAGGACTATATCCCGAGGATACAAAAGTTGTACGCAGAGTACGAAGAACAAACGAAAGGCATCACGTCGACGTTCTACGAGATCAGCCAGACACTGAGCAGGGTGTTCCGCGCGAGACCTGCCAGCTTGTCGAAGACGAAGCAACAGTTGGAATCTATTCAACAGCTGCAGAACAGATTGGCTGGCATGAGCACGGATTTGGAGTCGCTGGGCGTGATCACGGAGCAACTGAGGGAGTGTCTCAGCCCTATCGATATGAAATCGTTGAATCAACAGCGGGCGCTTCTTCGACTGCAGCACGGGGACCTCGAACACCAGGCAGCGTTGCTTATTTGCAGGTTGGACGAACGTTGCGATCTCTATGATCGTTGGAAGGACAGATCGGCCAGGTTACTTACGTGGATAGACGAGATGGAGACCCGAATTCAAGATTGTGACTCGATGGCGCCGAACGAACCTGAGGAGACCTTGAAAAGACTGGAGTGTGATCTGCAGGCGGATATCGCGTTGAAACAGCCGGAATTGTTGTGGATACAGAACATCGGCCAAGATCTGATCGAGGTAGCCGAGGAAGACGAGAGCGAGAGGCTGCAACGAACCTTGGACGAGGTGAAGGAGAGATGGGAACGGTTGCTGACTACGGGCAAGTCCAGAGCCAGTAAATTGGTCGATCTCATGAGAACCATGAACACTTTGGAGAAGAGGATAAACGAGCTGAGGAGCTGGCTGGCCAGCGTGGAGAGCCAGTTGTCGGAGACGTTCGTGATCGAGGAGATCGCTCAGAGCTGTATCGACAAGAAACTCGAGGATCACGAGCACCTTCAGAAGACTATCGAGGCGGAAAGCGGTAACATCGGCGAGGTGTTGAATCTCTGCGAGATTCTCTTAAGCGATTGTGACGCCTGGAAAGCTTCCTTTAACACGGACGCCATTAAGAACGGAATGGAAGGGTTGGAGCGTAGATGGACAGCGACCTGCGTGAAATCGGCCGAGAGGAAAGGGAAGATCATCCTCGCGTGGAAGATCCTTCAGGAATTGGAGAAGATCAGGTCGGAACACGGAGGCTGGCTCGGGGAGACCGACGATGCTCTCTCGGAACTGGAGAAAAGCCTCGACGAGCTTTCCAAGGAGGAATCGAAGAAAACCATCGAGAAAGCCAGAAACATTCTCGACGATATAGAGGCGCACGAATCGGCGATGAAGATAATCGAGCAGAGCTTTGGCCGTTTGGCTAGGACAGGCGTGGAGCCAGATAACCTGAAGTCGCTTATCAGCGAGACACGGCGGCTTATCGATAAATGGCAAACGTTGAAACCTAGAGCGAACGCCGTCCTATTGGCGCTGCAACAGGGACAGAAGAATTATCGGGACTTCATCACGGTGCATGGCGCGGCGGTTGTCGGATTGACGCAGGTCGACGTTCGGCTGACCACCACGCAACATTTGTCCACGCTCGAGCAGAAATCCTCGTCGCGTCGAAGGCTGCAACAGCTGAACGAGATCGAGGAAGAGCTTCGCACGCAGAACCTCACGTTGCAGAAAGCCGACGAATTGGCGTTGAAGGTTATGCAGGAATGTCATCCGGATGACGTGGCGACTATTCAAGAGTTGGTGGACGAGTATCAACTTTTATGGAAGGATATCAAGAAGAGAGTGGCCTCGTTAAGAGCGGAAATTGAGGGACAAGAGAAGTTGGAGGTTGACGAGGCTGTGCAGGTGGAAACGTTGAAGTTCGAACAGGACAGTGCCGTTCAAGTGGACACGTTGCCGAAACTATTGAGAATGACATCGAGCGACGCGTATCTGATGGAGTTGGAGGCTGCTCTAATCGAGTGTAACGACGCTCTGGATACGCTGGAAATAGCAATTACACCGGATCCTGTCGCTGGTCCTGGGTTGAACGCAACTGCTAAAAATATTGTAAGTTTGAATATCGTTAGAAAATAATCTTGTGTGCAAATAGTACGATAAATATTTTTCAATGATTATCAACAAGAAAGTATTTCAAATGAATATTCATTTGAAGAACATATTGGTCATTGGCCAATATAAAATTATCATCATTCAAAAGACACAAAGTAACTCCAGTTTTTTTTTTTTTTATTATAAAATAAAGATATACATTCTTCACTTAATTTTTATTTGAAACATTTTTTATTTAATTATCAGAATCAATTTGAGCATTATTGTACAATGTATAAAATACACTTACAACAAATTAAAAAAATAGATCGTTAGATTTAAAGGTGTTTTTTCTGATTGAATTTTTGCAAGTTCAAAATGTCTTTTATTTAACAGAGTAAACTAATCGGAAGCTGTCAATCGTCGATCGAACTGGTTCGTCACTTGCATAGTTTGCTCATAGAGGATGGAAAATTAAGCGCGCAGGCTGCCAAGGCTAACGAGGTGGCGGCGTTGACGAACAGATATGAAAATCTTCTAATCTTAGCGAGAACGCGGGAACAACAGATCAGAGAACTCAGGTAAAGCCTGCTACTTTAACAAATATAATTTGCCACATAATTACCATGAATACAACATGTACTGTTATTACACGTTATTTTATCTGCTCAATGAAAATCACTGATGCGAGTCAACGTTAAATCAGAAATTTTTCGCGCGCAGGTCACCTAACTCTAACGTTTACACCTTCCCCTGCGGTCACTGAGTGTTCCCCTTTCGCACTAACAATTTCTCATTAACAGTCGTTAACGATCTCCGCTCATTCCATACCTGTTTTTCCCGTGGCAAACTCTGTACGACCATTAGCACGCCACAAAAATTCACATTCCAAAAGTTTTGTTTGAAATATAAAAAAAATATATAAATGTATATATACATATATATACATATGAAATTTTGTGTATTACAGCGATACTGGAAGATTAACCTGTCCCGTGTGCTCGCGTCGTAATTGGGCTCAGCTGGAAAACGATCTCTGGAGGCTAGAGAAATGGCTGGAATTCGCTGAAGGCACCCAAAGCGAGCAACATTCACCACCGAGCAACATAGAACAGTTGGAAGACATTATACAAGATCACAGGGAGTTCGCGCTCGATCTAGACAGTCACAAAAGTATTCTAGTCAGTTTGAATACCGTCGGCGCTCATCTGGCCGATCACACGGAAGATCTGTGTCGGGCGATGCAGCTCAGAGACAGATTGACCGTAGCGAACACGAGGTGGGACAAGGTGTGCAACGTGGCTGCACACTGGCAGGAACAGCTGCAAATTGCGCTGATGTCGAACCAGCAGTTCCATCGTATTATAGAGGAATTGCTTACCTGGCTGGAGAAAACGGAAATTAGCATACAAGCCAGCGAACCGGTCGACTTGACCGAGTCGCCGGAGATTATGACTGCCAAGTACAATAAATTCAGGTATGTATGCTTTAGGAATATTTGATGAAGGATAAATATAATACACAGATTAAAAGATGATAGATAAATGAAAAAGTAGCGAATAATTTTATATTTCTTAATAAATACAAATCTTTGGCGTTCTACAAATTTAATCATTTGACGTATCTTATATTTGAGGAAAAACTAATGTTTTTTTTCTTTTTTTTTTTTTTTTTTTTTTTTTTTTTTTTTTTTTTTTT